TCGGAGTTTCACCGACTAATATATATCGTCAAACAGAGCTGCCCGGTAAACCGCAGGCAGAGAGGGAGAAGAGGACAACAAACGAGGGGCTGTGACAAACTGTGTCGTCGGAGACTCATCAGGAGGCTGAACCCTATTATGTACATAGGCAACTCCGACGAAACAGTTTGTCACAGCCCCTCGTTTGTTGTCCTCTTCTCCCTCTCTGCCTAAGGTTTACCGGAAGGCTCTGTTTGACTATATATATATATTGTATATATATATCGTCACATAAATATCAGAGCACAAAAGCGAAAAAATACAAAAGAAAACAAAAACATCAAATCAATTCATATATATATATATATCGTCACAAATAGAACTGCCCGGTAAACCGTAGGCAGAGAGAGAGAAGAGGACAACAAACGAGGGGCTGTGACAAACTGTTTCGTCGGAGTTTCACCGACTCATCAGGAGGCTGAACCCTCAACAGTCTGCAGAATCCCCTCACTGATTACACTGTAAATGATAATCTACCTTAACCAAAATCAAAGTAGACTATCACTCACCCACACCAGATGGAAAACTCTACAGACTGTCGGTTCACACCCCATCACAAGCCAGCAAAACATCCACGAAACAAAGAAAGGTCTGTCACAGCCAAAAAATACACTCCAGACACGCCGCTGGATATATATATATATCGTGAAACAGAGCTGCCCGGTAAACCGTAGGCAGAGGGGGAGAAGAGGACAACGAACGAGGGGCTGTGGCAATATGTATATATCACACTGAATCGGAGCGCAAAGGCGGAAAACGACAAAACAAATGAAAGGAAAGAAGTAAGGAAGGAAAGCCCCGCCTGTTCATCACCTCTTACGTACAAGGCCAGCCACGTGGATGACAGGTTGAGCGCTGGCTGCCCCCATCCTCGTGTGTCACAAGGACCCACTTGTACGCAACCAAAAGGCAAAGAGGTAAAGAAAAGGAGGAGGTATCGTCAAACAGAGCTGCCCGGTAAACCGTAGGCAGAGAGGGAGAAGAGGACAACAAACGAGGGGCTGTGACATACTGTTTCGACGGAGTTTCACCGATATATATAAACAGAAAGAGAGGGAGAAGTGCCCGGTGAACCGTAGGTAGAAAAAGAGAGAAAACGCCAAGAAACGAAAATGTCCTCCAGCAGTAATGTGCAAACGCATGCGCTCCGCGTGCAGTATTTTGTCCTAAAAGAACATACATTGCCAGATTTGCAGTTTTTACGACCATATATACACAAAACGCCGTTTTTCAAATTATTACAAGTACTAAAATAAAGAAAGCCATGCCATGGATTCTTATATACGCATGTATGTCCGTTTTAGTTATCGAGCAAAAAAATACCAAGAGAGCCTCCTGATGAGTTGGTGAAACTCCGACGAAACAGTCTGTCACAGCCCCTCGTTTCTTGTCCTCTTCTCCCTCTCTGCCTACGGTTTACGAGGCAGCACTGTTTGACGATATGTATCAATATATATATGACACACCCAAGCCTCAAGTGCACAGCGACAACCGGTACGTTTAAGTGCGCACAGCGATAAGTGCTTTGAGCACCAACTTCTGTCTGCTCGCGTCGACCACTCCCATTGCTCGTGACACGAAAATGGATTGCCACAAGAATAATTCTTTTCCATTTCTTTTCTTTTCTTTTCTTCTTTTTTCTTTTCTTCTTTTTTCTTTTCTTCTTTTTTCTTTTCTTCTCTTTTCTTTTTCTGTTGCGCTCCGTGCATGCGGATACGTATGGAAATTTCTGTCGAGGCGTGCACGAAAGATAGTCCATGGGCCTCTGTTTATCACTATTCTCTTCCATTTCTTTGCGTCAATTCAGATATGGAACTTACTATGCATGAACTCCATCGCCGGTTTTTTTCGTACATGAAAACAAAAGACTCTATTCTCGATTTTCCTACATGACCAAAAAAAAAAAAAACGCTATCGTCGGTTTTCGATTCGTTACATCTTTTCCGATCTGCCAAACTACACAGTACTCATCCCGTCGACCCGCTGCACGCAGGAGTCCGGACATTCATCCAAGTTCTTTATCCACACACACTACTTTCTCGGTGCGTGCAGGCATCTGTGTGTTTCCATCTTTCTTCTTCCTGCTCTGCTGTTACTTTGTTTCGCAAATGCGTTCTTTCCATGGTAGTAATTACATCATCTTATTTAACAAACAAAGGGTACACAGCGATTCTCTCTCTCTCTCTCTCTCTCTCTCTCTCTCTCTCTCTCCCTCTACATCATCTTATATAACAAACAAAGGGTACACAGCGATTCTCTCTCTGTGTGTGTGTGTGTGTGTGTGTGTGTGTATGTGTGTGTACATATATATCTCGCGCGCGCGCAAGGCGCTCTTCGTATGTAGCGACCTCGCGACAAGTTTGTGAGTGCCACGCAGCGCGAAGCGTAAGGAAAGAAAAAGAAGAAACTTGACACTGACAATTTCTGGGGCAAGGCTCTAATTACATTCATCATATTATACGAAATAACATGTATCACTTGTATAGAGATACATACGTTGCCACGGAGACGGGAACATTCTGTCGTCGGACTCTTCTAGACGAAACAAAAAGTTCGTGTGCCCTTCCTTTCATTTTCTTTCTTCTTGGATTTGACCCTCATGCCTGCTACTTTTCCACATTTACACTATTTCGAGAGTCAGTGCACAACTCCCAGTGCATAGTTACTAGCTGATACAAAATGTATAGACATTACATACCTGCGAAGAAGAATCACGCTCACAGTAATACAAAGACTAACCTCTTCTAATAGTCTCCCGCATCAAAAAGAAAGCTAAAAAAGAACAAAAGCATACGTGTGTTGAGCGCAAGCAACCGCCCTCCCGACCTGCGACCACACATTTTTCTTGTCCATACGAACACCCAATCTCAAGATGAAGAACACAGGAGGGGGCCCCGCGACGTTGGAGACGAAGGAAGTGGGAATGGGAGACGGAGGGGGGAGATGAGGCAGAGGGCAAGGGAGCGGCGAAAAAAGGAGGGAAAGAGGGGGGGGGGGAAGAGACGGAAAGATGAGGGTGGAGTTGGGGGGAGGAACGGGGAGTGGAAGGGAAAGAGAGGTGAAGGAAAGGGAGAGAGGGGCGAGGAAAGAGAGGAAAACAATAATTTTCTGGAAAAACAAAAAACAAAAGTTTGGGACTATCAACGTTCTCAACGCAAGAGTTTTAATCAGTGGCACAAACGAATTAATCGCCACAAACAGTACTAAGAAAGAATGTAATGTGATCACAGATTACTATTCATCTTCACAGTTGCTATACAACCAAGCAATCATAACAGGCGTCTCGACTCACAAGAGGTGAGTGGATTGTCAGAGAGAGAACGAAGGGGAAAGAAGGTGCAAGAGAGACAACTGGGGAGGGGGAGAGGGGAGACGAACATGGAGAGAGAAACAAAGACGGGAGAGAGGACAAGGAGAGAAGGATAAAAAGAGTAGAAAGAGAAGCAAGAATAGAACAGAATAGAGAAAGAGAAGATGAGGGAGAGGGAAAGATCGGCCAATTGCCGCCCCGCATGAACTTGTCTCGCTACTGCTAGGATAACTTACATCTTCCACAAAGAAAACATTCGTTCGCGCATTCGGACTACTTCCTCCCACACACGAGATCGATCAGGGACCACATCTAGACAACACACAGCGAACCCTCAACCAGCACTCGTGATCGGGGATCGGTCATCATGAGAGATTGGGCCTCGCTCCATTACTCACCATATGCACAAAAGACAAAAAATATGGCGGTGTATCTTCCCATGTTCTAGCCGCAGATTCATTCACTTTTTCACATTTGGTGAGCAGTGGAGCGAGGCCCATTGTTGCGCTTTCGTCACACCAATCGAGCCTACCACTTCCCCTCGGCGAAGAAAACTTATCAATGTTCACCCCGAACTAGCACACGGATTCGGCCACCAAATGGACACGTCTCTCTCTCTCTCTCTCTCTCTCTCTCTCTCTCTCTCTCTCTCTCTCTCTCTCTCTCTCTCTCTCTCTCTCTCTCTCTCTC